TCTTATACTTTTAGATTAGAATAATGTAAAAATCGTTAGATTTTAATGCTAACAAAGTAGCAGAAAAATGTATAGATCACATATTATTCTTCAACCAAAACCCTGTTTCTTACGTTACACCTGATCTTGTTTTCTGATTGGACGTGATATTACACGACTGACCCACTTCACTAGTCGAAATGATAAAACCAGTATAAGTTCATTCTAATCGAAATAAGATTAATTAGCTGCCGGATGTGCTGAGTGTGTGCAGCTCAGTCAATATTTATCTAGTTAACTGGCTTAATAGAAAATATTGACAGAATGCCAATATTAACCAGTACACGTTCACATTTTCAGCCAATACCTTAACTAGAATGAGTACTGATTTTCATTTTGACAAATGCTTAACACGAGGAGAATAGTCGTGACGAATTATCAATATGTGATCTAACAATTTTCATACCATTCGATTAATCGCATAGAAAGTGCAGAGTCGTTCAATTCTGATAACTGGGCCACGAGATATCGAAATCCAAATGTCACATCAATATTTTTTTTAAAGGATAATATCTTGTGATCCAGTGAACAGATTCGAGCGATTTTACACTATTCGATTCGAAACATCAATGGTCGAAAATAGTTTCGATTTCCATCAATGTTGAAACTTCAAATTTCATCTAACTTCAGTTATAATCAATACCCCATTTACCTTATTTTTAACACAAAAAAAAAAAGAAAAAAAAACAATGTAATTATAAATGTTATACCTTCTTTTACTACTTTTGTGGATAATTGCTATGCAACTATATCTATTAACGTTATCAAATCTAATCATCACATCGGGGATTTTTTCCCAATTTCCGTGAGCATCCTTCTTTGCAAGACATCCATAAATCTGGCAATTTTCATCGAAAAGCGGTCCAGGAAATTTGATAGTTACTGTGGTTTGATTATCTCGAGGGAGTGTTTCTTTTCCGTTAAATACGATACGATACTTATCGCTTAAGATTGATTCAATTTCACTTTGTTGTGATTTTGCTAGGATTTTATATGTTGAAATCCAGTCACCGTAATAAATAACTTTCCAATTATTGTAATTGTTTGATTGAATTTCACGCCACTCCTCAATTTCATCTCGTCTAATAGGCTTATTGTCGTCTACGAAAAAAGTTGTATCTAGATCTTGGTGCTTATTATCCCAATCCGTCAAAATCTTTTTTGCTTGTGCATTAAAATTTTCAAAATCAGGATCTTGCTTCTTAATAGTGTTTGGAGGAATATTACAGGAGTTGTATGTTCTAGTCAATTTTCTACCTAATATTATTGTTTGAGGAACTAGAAGTCCATAAGTATTGTTAAATAATTCGCAGAGATTGCTGTATGGTTCATTACTTTTTAGAGCACCATCTACCGCATTAGAAAACTGTTCAGAGGGTTTTATAATTGATTTAAAAGAGATTTTGATTGCATTAAAAATAATCTGACAGAAAACTGTCCTTGAAGGATTATTTTCTAAACCCTGGAAATACTCTAAAGTCTGATTGTCAATGAAGGGGATTTCACTGAAATTTAAATCTTCTTCCTCCTTTAAACCATTATCGAATAAATAAGCAAGTTGTTGGGTTCCGGGTTGATATAATAAAATAGTGATATTATCGATTGGTGTAATTATTGGGTCTTTTGGATATTTAAACGCGGCCCTATCTCCATTCCCTAATTTCGAGCGTTGTAAGAGTACAGCATACTCTAATAAAAGATCATGAATCCAATCACGCATATATAATAATCTTGGTTTTCTGTTTTTTATCCATCCTAAAAGTTTTTGTCGCCCGCCTTGAGTTAACATTTGTGGAATTATCCTTACAATAGGTTCAATAACGGGTTGAGGTAAAAAAAATTCCGATATCCGCTCGACCAAGTCATGTGGTAATAACTCACAGGATGGTCTAATATCTTCGTAAGATATAATCTCTGCATATTGATAATTATACAGATCTTTTAGCCATTCATAAAGTTCTCCAATCGTTTTTATATTTTTTGAAATTTCAAATCGAGGAAGAACATTAAGCGGAGTTTCACTAAAAATTTTTGAACCTCCACCTTTTGCATAGTCTATTCCCCATTGAATATAAGTCAATAGACGGGATTGCTCTACGTAATCAATTTCTGTCCAATTTTTTATCGTGATAGCCCCACCAATAACAACTTCGGTAATTACAAAATTACCCCATTCATTAAATACCTTATTTAATCTCTCTTTTTTCTCAATATTATCTGACAAATCAAGAGCACTTTTAACATCACGAGAAAATTGCTCTGCTACACTTCCTCGGTATTGTACAGTAGCTATTGGAATATGTATTTTTACATCATCGCACAAATGGGGTAAGTCATTTTCATTATCTGAATTTTTAAATAAATTCATATTGTCTAAAATTGCCCAGGGGTTCGTACTTTGTTCAATTGGTGCTGGAAAATAGATAATTGGATCAGACTTTTTCAATTTATTTATGTTTAAATGTCCACTATCACTAAGTATCGTTTTTGTTCCAGGAACAAGATCACGTTCAACGCAATTCCTTCCTTTGTTTAAATTAAAATAATTAACGAGATCAATTTTTAGCTTTTTTTGTTTTTCATCATCCAATATACTATTTTTATTAAGCCTATTACTTTCATCATATGTTTGTTCAATATGTTTTAATTCCTCAAGAATTTTAGAGCAATCAGGTCTTTCATCTATAATTAATATTAGTCAATTAATTAATTCTTGCTTGATCATGTATCAATTTTATAAATTAATATTATATAATACTAACCAGGATTATTGTCCCAACATTTTTGGTATAGCTTTTTAAATTTAAGCGGCGTTTCATCTATTATATGATAGTTGCTACAAAAAGGTTCGACACCATTATGTGCTATTTCCCACATTAACACACCCAAGCTATAGATATTTAACTTGGCCTTGTCACTAATACATTTTTTTCGTAAGAAGTCAGGTGGGTTATATTTTGAGTACGAATTGTTGCCGTTAGAATACATTTTAGATGCTCCAAGGTTTCCAAGGTTTGCTATTTTCGGAATTCTGTCTTGCACAAAAATATTATATGGATGCTAAAATAAAAAGTAAATGAGACTCCAATAAATCTATATACATATCATGACTTATTAATTTAAAAATATTACCAATTCAGTATGTACAACTCGCTCATCATGGAGAAATTTTAAACCATTAACCACTTGACGCGTGATCTCAAATTTATCTCTCCAACTCAGCGAATTAGATAAATGTTTTTGCCTAAGATAATGACGCAAGTCACCGTCATTCGTATATTCGTGAACAAAGTAATAATTGTTACTATGGTTGTCTATTTTAATATAAAAATATTCGCAGTAAATTGTTGAGAATTATTAATTAGGAACGTTGTATACGATTAAGTGATTATAGAATCTTCACGGAATTTAATTTACTATTCAGAATGAAATTAGTAAATTCCGAGTGATCCCTTCTACACGTCGTTTATTTGCATAAATAAATTTACAAACCGAACGTAAGGCCAAAAGTTTTAAGTAC